GATGTTTGCTTTGTTACCGACTATGTGGTCGATTTTCGAGAAGGTTCCATGAGCTGCAGAGAAGAAGGTATATTCTTTCCTATTTGGATGGAATGTTCTATAGATGTCTGTTAAGTCCATTTGATTCATTACCTCCACTAATTCTCTTATTTCTCTGTTAGGTTCCTGTCTGATTGACCTGTCCATTGGTGAGAGAGGAGTGTTGAAGTCTCCTACTATTAGTGTGTGCGGTTTGATGGCTGCCTTGAATTTTAGCAATGTTTCTTTTATGTACGTGGGTGCTTTTATATTAGGGGCATAGATGTTCAGGATTGAGACTTCATCCTGATGAACTGTTCCTGTTATGAGTATAAAATGCCCCTCTCCATCTCTTCTGATTGATTTAAGTTTAAAGTCAACTTTGTTAGAGATTAGTATGGCCACACCTGCCTGTTTCTTAGGTCCATTTGCTTGATAGGCCTTTTCCCAGCCCTTTACTCTGAGTAGGTGCCTGTCTTTGTGGTTGAGGTGTGTTTCTTGTAAACAGCAGAATGTTGGATCCTGTTTTCTTATCCAATCTCTTAGCCTGTGCCTTTTTATAGGTGAGTTGAGTCCATTGACATTAAGTGATATTAATGACCAGTGGTTGTTAACTCCGGTCATTTTTTTTTAGTCGTAGAGTTTGTGTGTTTCCCTTCTTTGTTTTGTGTTGGTGAAGGGTCTCTAGATGTCTGAGTTATTGTGGTCATTGTTGGACTCCTTGGTTAGTGATTTTCCTTCAATTACTTTCTGTAAGGCTGGATTTGTGGCTGTGTATTGTTTAAATTTGTTTTTATCCTGGAAAATTTTATTTTCTCCATTTATAGTGAATGAAAGCTTGGCTGGGTATAGTAATCTGGGCTTGCACCCATGGTCTCTCAGTTTCTGCAGTACATCTATCCAGGACCTTCTGGCTTTCATGGTATCCATGGAGAAGTCAGGTGTAAGTCTGATAGGTTTACCTTTATAAGTAATTTGGCCTTTTTCCTTTGCAGCTCTTAATATTCTTTCCTTATTCTGTATGCTTTGTGTTTTGATAATTATATGGCGAGGGGATGTTTTTTTTTGATCCAGCCTATTCGGTGTTCTGTATGCTTCTTGCACCTTCATAGGAAAATCTTTCCTTAGGTTGGGAAAGTTTTCTTCTATAATTTTATTAAATAGATTTTCTGGACCATGGAGCTGCCCTTCTTCTCCTTCTTCTACTCCTATTATTCTTAGGTTTGGTCTTTTTATTGTGTCCCATATTTCCTGAATGTTTTGTGATGAGAGTTTGTTGGACTTGCTGTTTTCTTTGATCAGTGTGTTTATTTTCTCTATGGTATCTTCAGAATCCGAGAGTCTTTCTTCTATCTCTTGTATTCTGCTGGTTATGCTTGTTTCTGTAGTCTCTATTCGTTTACCTAGATTTTCCATGTCCAGACAGCCCTCTGTTTGTGTTTTCTTCTTTGCCTCCATTTCAGTTTTCAGGTCTTGAACTGTTTCCATTATCTGTTTGATTGTTTTTCCTTGGTTTTCTAGGGTATCATTCACTGATTTATTCAATTCTTCAAACTTTCTGTTATATTTCTCATCCATTTCTATAAGGGCGTTTTTTACATGCTGTTTAAGGGTGTCAATCACTTTCATGAAGTCAATCTTTTCTCCTTCCTCTTGATTAAGGGGTTCTTGTCCTCCCGTTGTGAGGTCGCTTGTTTCTGGTAGCTTCATGTTGCTTTTCACCTTGTTGGGCGAATTCTTGCCTTGACGTCGGCCCATCTCTTCTTCCAAATGCTCCCTATGGATCTTCTTTTACCGGATTAGGTCTCCTTGCCTACCAAACGCTGTCTCTCCCCAATGTTGGCTCTCCCAATGCTGGGTCTCCTGGCGCCGAAAGATCAGGCCTCCGTGCTGGTTGGGCAGCTCGCAGACAAAGCGCCTATCCCGCTTGGTGCAGGCAGGCCACAGAAACAAAGGAACTGCTGCCCGCCCGGGAGCCCCGGATACTCGGACCCTGCGCCCAGATAGGCTGGGCTGGGCGATGCCACGCGCCTAAACAGGGCAGTGGGGGCGAAGTGGGGAGGGCTCTGGACGGAAGCTGGGTGGGCCAGGAAGAAAGAGGCAGCACCTGGGGAGTAGAGGCCCTGCAGAGAGCCCAAGCAGGACAGGGGGCCAAGAAACCCCCGAGCTCCCCGTCCCAGGCTGGCGCCGTGGGCCAGAAACTCACCCCAATGCTGGGTCTCCTGGCGCCGAAAGATCAGGCCTCCGTGCTGGTTGGGCAGCTCGCAGACAAAGCGCCTACCCCGCTTGGTGCAGGCAGGCCACAGAAACAAAGGAACTGCTGCCCCCCGGGAGCCCCGGGTACTCGGACTCCGCGCCCAGATAGGCTGGGCTGGGCGATGCCACGCGCCAAAAGAGGGCAGTGGGGGCGAAGTGGGGAGGGCTCTGGACGGAAGCTGGGTGGGCCAGGAAGAAAGAGGCAGCACCCGGGGAGTAGAGGCCCTGCAGAGAGCCCAAGCAGGACAGGGGGCCAAGAAACCCCCGAGCTCCCCGTCCCAGGCTGGCGCCGTGGGCCAGAAACTCACCCCAATGCTGGGTCTCCTGGCGCCGAAAGATCAGGCCTCCGTGCTGGTTGGGCAGCTCGCAGACAAAGCGCCTACCCCGCTTGGTGCAGGCAGGCCACAGAAACAAAGGAACTGCTGCCCCCCGGGAGCCCCGGGTATTCGGACTCAGCGCCCAGATAGCTGTAGTTGGTTGTTATATATGGATATGATCTCATACAACTCCACCAAAAATGGCTTGCTTTTTTTTTTTTTATTGTATTTGCTTGTGGGAGGGGGTCGTGGATTTTATCACAAGGCCTTGAATTTATTATTCTACTGCTTGGCCAGTTTATTGCTAAGATTGTATGCCACCATGTCAGACCTGCTTACTTGTTCCACTAGATACCTTAGGGTTTTATGTGTGGGATGGAAGTCATGTTATCTTCTAGTATTGACACTTTTCATAACAATCCTGATGCTTTTGTTTCTTGGCTGGCCTCCCTGTTCAGCCAGCTTTACTCTGCCAAAGTATCCTCCGAGTCTGGTCTCCCATACAGAGATTTTTCTCCTCCTAGTTTGCTTCGTCATCAGGAGTCGGTGCTGGCTTTCACTGAAGGCTTTTCTACATATGTCGAGATAACATATGGTTTTTCAACTGTAAATACAGTGAGATACATTGTTGATTTTCAGGTGTTAAATATTGCAAAGTTTTATTTGTTTTTCCACATGTAATACTGGATACCTTGAACACAATATTTTATCTGGGGGTAAGTCCTTTTTAGTCGTGATCATTTTTACATTTATTAATTCTTGCTTCTTGGGCCTGAAGATTTGGCTGGAATCTCTCGTAGCAGACCTGAATTCTGTTCCTAGCACTCTCATGGCAGCTCACAACTGCCTATAGTATGAGCTCCAGGGAATCTGATGCCCTCGTTTGGACTCTGAAGGCTCTTGCACACACATAATATACACAAACTCACTCAAGTATACACACATAAAAATTTAGTAAATAAGTAAGAAAAAAAGAAAACCATTCTTACTGCTTACTCATGAAGGTTTATGATCTGTAATTTTGCTTTCTTTTAATATTTTTTTCCTATTTTGATGTCAAGATAATGATAGCCTCCTGAGTGAGTTAGGGAGCTTGTGTTCCTCTTGAATATTCTGGAAGAGTCTGTACAGAATTGTTTTGTGTTTTCCCTTATATAGCTTGCATTTTTCATTTTGAGAAGGTATTTACATGCAAACTTAATTCTATCAATAGCTATTGATCTATCTAGGTCAGCTATTTCTTCTTTATAAACTGTGGTATTTATGTCTTTCAAGGAGTTTGTTCATTTTGTCCAGAGTTCTTTCTTTGATCAAACTATTTTGAACAACCACATGATGGGAATAGTTCTTATAACAGGCAATGCTGAAGATTAATTATTCATGAGGAAGAAGTACCATGTATTTAAAGGAGATGCTGTAAGCTTTCAAAGCAGCCACGTAGACTTTGAACAGAGAAGGTGTTAAAGACACTTAAAATACATTTTCTCCGTGAATAAGTGTCTCCTGTAGAAACTCACCTTTCTGTCAGTGTATACTGTATGATTTCAGTATTTAAATGATATTTCCTTTAGATTTGTATAGAGTATTACTTTTCTTCGTTCTTGCTTTGTTTTGTTTTGGTTTTGGTTTTTTGAGACAGGGTTTCTCTGTAGCTTTGGAGCCTGTCCTTTTAGACCAGGCTGACCTCAAACTCACAGAGATCCAAGTACTGGGACTAAACTCATGTGCCCCTACTTCCTGGCTTGTATAGAGTATTTCTTTTTGTATTTTTTAAGAGACTTATTATGTATATGAGTGTTTTGCTTGCATGAATGTCTATGTACTTTGTGTCTGGTGTCTGTGGAGGTTAGGACTGGTCATTGACTTCCCAAGAACTGAATTATAGATGGTTATATGCTGGGAATCAAATGTGGGCCCTTTGCAGAAACAAATGCTCAACTGCTGGACTATCTCTCCAGCCCTAGACTAATTCTTATCTGAAGTTTGTTTTTTATCTCAGATTTGTTTTTTGTTTTGTTTTTGAGATAGTGTTTCTCTCTTTAGCACTGGCTGTTCTAGAGCTCTCTCTCTATAGACCAGGGTAGCCTAGAACTCAGCAGAGATCCACCTGCTTCTGCTTCCTGGGTGCTGGAATTAAAGGTATGGGCCACCATCCAGCTCTCACAGTAGATTTATAAAATAAGATGTCCTTTGTTGTGCTCATGGTTTTATAATGAAAAAAGAGCAGGTACATCTGACAGAAATACTTGTATTTTCCTGAGACACACTGCTTTAAATATATAGATGAAATGTTTTATGTTTTGTTTTGTGCTGGTATGTTTTTAAAGTCAATCTGTGGACCTTGCTACATCTCTTGTGGTTCCTGTTGTTTTCCTTGGAGCTCTGTGTTTTCTGCTCTGCATCTTTCAGGTCAAAGATGAGCAGCATCAGTGTTCTCTGGGGAGCCTGAGGATCCCTCTCAGTCAGCTGCTTATGAGTGACAACATGACCATAAACCAGCGGTTCCAGCTCAGCAACTCGGGTCCAAACAGCACCTTAAAAATGAAGATTGCCCTCCGGGTACTGCATACTTTTTAGCAGGACTCCATAGTGGGAGGGAAGAAAGCAGCTTCAGCTCAGTCCCAGTGTGGCAGTGCTACCAAAGGCATAGGTCAGGTGGCATGATAGAGCATGCTGACAGTTTGAGGGCCACAGAAGCTGTCATAGAGTTATGGGAGTCCAATCTAGATCCATTCCAAACAAACCCTTTATTTCCAGATTCATTGACAGGCCATGGTAGTCCAGAAAGTATGTTTATTCCAATGGAGTTTGCTTCTTAACCTTGAATATTCAAAGGTTGTTCAGAAGGCAGCTTGATAAACTCTTATAGAGGTAGAATTTACAGGAATAAAAGCTAAAAGCTATAGTTTGTCCACAATAAAAATACCTGAGTAGATATTGATAATAAATGCTTAAACATACAGGAAATGTAATTAAAGTATTCATGCTGAGCCAAGGCGACATCTCAGCAGGTAAAGCTGAGCTGCTCAAGCCTGAGAGCCTGAATGCAGTCACTGAATCCACAGGATTGTCCTCTGCCCTTGGCGTACGTGCCAGGGCACACACACCCATCTAAAAACAAACAAAATTATATAGACATTATAAGAAAGAGCCAACTTTCTGTTTCAGTGCTGGGGTTTGAACCCATAGTTTTACACATGCTAGGCCAACATTTACCACTCAACTATACGCCAGCCCTAAGAATGAGTTTTTGCTTTTTGTTGTTGTTTTTTTTTTTTAATTAGAATAGTCTGCTCAGGGTCCAGTGTCGCACATATCAAGATGCAGCACAACCATATAGTGGCAGAGTAGTTACAGCATCACCTGTCTGCCACCTCATGAGCTCCTGGTTACTGTGTAAACTGTGGGGAGTCTGTGAAATGAAAGTGTTTGCAATAGCTTTGGTTAATACAACCAGAGATGGTCAGTAATTCCAGAGTGTCCTGTAGAGTATAGCCCTGGCTTACACATTACCATCCCCAGTGTGCAGGATGATGTGGCTGTCCTTTTACTACGGTATTACGCTTGGTTGCTTGAGAGATCCTTCTGGATAGCACAGTATCTTGGCATTTTTTTCTTTGTCTGGGAGTCTGGTGTAAACCACCTGAAAGAATGGGATATTTCATGTTTTGCCAAGGATACATGGCTTTCTGGGTGATCTCATGGAAGCCTTGTGCCATAATTAGAATATGTTCAAATGGAAGAGATTAGAAGATACAGAAAAGGTATTTTTTATTGCAAAAGTAGAGTAGTTTTAATTGTTTAAAATTTATCTTTTTAAAAATTGTTTGTTTTTTTTTTTGGGCTGGAGAGATGGCTCAGAGGTTAAGAGCACTGGCTGCTTGCTCTTTCAGAGGTCCTGAGTTCAATTCCCAGCAACCACATGGTGGCTCACAACCATCTGTAATGAGATCTGGCTCCCTCCTCTGGTGTGTGGGCATACATGGAGACAGAATGTTGTATACATAATAAATAAATAAATCTAAAAAAATTTTAAAAAAAATTGTTTGTTTTTTATTTTGGAGACAAGTTGGCACTGGTTGTCCTTGAATTCTCTATGTAGACCAGGATAGCTTCAAACTGTCAGAGCTCTGCCTGCCTCTGCCTTGCAGGTGCTGGGATTAAAGGCGTGCACCACCATGCCTCATAAAATTTGCTTTTGTAATTCTCTGTAATACACTATTTTAATAACTGCATAGCTGAATAGGTTAGCTGAATCTTAAACATTTGCAAATGAATACATCTAAAGCCACTCATGTATCCAGGTGTCACCGCTGTCACTGGTTTCCCCCTAGGTCCTCCATCTTGAGAAGCAAGAAAGACCTCCAGACTACCAGCATTCGGCTCAAGTGAAACGGCCCTCTGTCTCCAAAGAAGGGAGAAAAATGCCTGTGAAATCTCAGAAGTCTGTGTCTCCAAGCACTGGTGATAGCAACACTGCTCCATCAACACCAGTCCTGGGAGTCGATGATAAGCCTGTCAGGGAGGAGAAGCCTCAGCCCCATGAGGCCAGCCCTCTAGGGCAGCGTGACCTAGGCAGGAGCTCCTCTAGCCTCTTGGCCTCTCCAAGCCACATCTCAGCCAAGGAGCCCACCCCAAGCATTGCCTCAGACATATCATTGCCCATTGCCACCCAGGAACTGAGGCAAAGGCTACGTCAACTTGAAAAGTAACTAATGCTCACATCATTGTTTATCATAGTTTTCATCCCATACACCACAGGGAGGGAGACCAGGTCTTAAGTTATCGGGGAGAAATTTGATTGTGCTATTTTGCTCACTAGTCTTTGACTTTCACAATAAAACTTGCTGCTTAGGACGTTGGATATGTTAAGAGAATAGAAGTGGAATAAGAGGTTTTGCAGGTAGGAGAGGCAAGAGACTTAAGCTGTGTGGCCACCATATACTCAGTTCACTCCAGGGACAGACTCCTGCATGGATAGTCACCAATGTGCTGAACATTGTGTCACCTGTCTTCTCTTCATTGCAAAATATGGTCCTCATTACCACCAAGTCCCCACTGGCTTCTTTAGATGTTTGCCATTTATAGGTAGCACTGGTGAATAAGGAAGAAAAAGTTACTATACTCATCAGACATTACTGTCTACTGTGGTAAACATAAAAATCAGCCTTTGAATCTTGCTTTTCTTGTGTCCTAAGAGGTGTGTCCACTTAGAAGGAAATCATCAAAGCAGAGGCTATGGTGAGAAAAGTATGGAAGGACTCAGCATTTGCCACATCTCTGAGGCTCCTCTGACCTGTGCTCATCTTTGGTTTTCTTACTTCCTCACATGAGTCATTTTGGAAGAAAGGGAGTCAGCTTCAGGTTGGGGTATAGTATGGTAATAGGACACTTGCCTAGCAGCAGGCTGAGTTTTAGCCACGAGGTTGAAATTTGTCCTGGGGAGAGCTCTGTCTCCTCTGTTCCTTGAGTGCTCACTGGAAAACTGTCAGTTTTGAATAATTAAGGAATCCCGAATCATCAAGTGATATAATTTAAATTTGGTATATATTCAAAAGTTCCTGGGTAATTAATTCCCATTTGTCTAGATGAATGGACATTACATTCCTGTATAGATGATATCAATACACCAAACCTCTTTTGTGTTGGGGCAGAGCTGGTGACATTCTGTTGTTTCCACAGCGGGACAACACTGGGACAGTCTCCCCTGGGGCAGATCCAGTTGACCATCCGGCACAGCTCCCAGAGGAATAAGCTCATTGTGGTTGTGCACTCCTGCAGGTAAGGCTGACCACTACTGCCACTGGCTGGTTATGTTCTGTCTTACGTGACTTCCCCCTCCCCGTATCAATAGGAGTTTAAAATATAAATATTTCTTTTATAGAAAGTCTTTTTAAAACATAGGTGAATAGAATTGGTGACACTGACAAACAATATTCTGAAAATGTAGATTTAGTTCAGAGAGGATTCTTAGGAACCTTCTGTGTTCTGGCTCCCGAGATAATGACTGCAGAGGGCCTGCAGCTGTGAATTAATGAATGGCTCATGCTCGCTGTCCTGTAGAAAGAGTAGGGGACAGTATCGTGGAGAAGGCCGACCACTGAAGGTCATATTGACAGAGGCCAAGTTTGCCCCACAGGGCCTCTGTTCATGTTTCCTGTGGGTAACACAGGAGAAGTCTGGGAGAAGGTGAGAAGCGTAGAGCAAGGGCAGTGAATGCCTGCCCACACTCTAGGCTTAGGTAGTCGAGCCAAAAGTCACTCTGGCAAAACTGCTAAAAGGGACATTTAAAAGTGATGGTATAGAACCACATATAGGGGAAGTCTGATGTATGTTGCTCGTTGGAGTTGAGATCATATTAAATAAAAGCTTGATAAAGTAATTCAGATATTATAGAATTCTTTTTTAAAAATTCTAATATTTAGTCTTCTCTGATTTGTGTTTTAAGAAACCTCATTGCCTTCTCAGAAGATGGCTCTGATCCATATGTCCGTATGTATTTATTGCCAGACAAGAGGAGATCAGGAAGAAGAAAAACACATGTGTCAAAGAAGACACTAAACCCTGTGTTCGATCAGAGGTACAGTAGATACTTCTTTTAGCTAAGAAGCTACCTGGATGAAATGACAGGCGGTTAGGGCAGTCCTGAGTGAGAAGGCCTGTGAACCTAGTGCACTGTTGAGAAACAGGGTGCTCTAGCACAGTCCAGCACATGGTGCTTGTTAAATAACCTTCGAGCAGAGGTGTTAAACATAATATATCCGAGTTATAAAGGTGCACAGGGACATGGATGGTTAAACGTCAAATTTTTGTTTTATTTTGTTTTTATGCTTTTTGAGACAGGGTTTCTCTGTGTGGACCTGACTGTCCTGGAACTCACTCTGTAGACCAAGCAGGCCTAGAACTCACAGAGATCCTCTTGCCTCTGCCTCTGTCTCCTGAGTGTTGGGGATAAAGGCGTGCACCACCACCTCCCAGCTAAAGGTCAAATTATTGACGACTCTGAAGCACTTTGATTTAGTGGGTAACATATATTGATACTAAATTTCAAATCAAACAATTTAAATTTAAAATTTTTTATAGTATAATAACATAAAATACACATTTTTGAGAAAAGCTCTATTTTTCTAAAACAATATAATGTTGCAAATCATAAGTGGTCACCTTAATAGAAGCTGCCTTTGTGTGGTTAGTAGCCAGTCTAATGGACCAAGTTGCTTGGATCCTTGGATTACCAGTCTGTAAAATCTGCCCCACCTCATAGTTCTCTGACAATTTAGCATCTGCTAGTTTTGAGAAAATAATAGAGCTGAATAGCATCAGTATTTGTTGACTCAGTTTTGTTTCTTCTTTAAATGTACCTCTCCCTCACTGTTTTCATTCTGTAACTTTATTTTGAACTAAAGTCAGCTAGGTGAACACCAAAAAGGGAACTCAATTTTACAAGAGAAAGCTGGTTGGAATGATATAAAAAAAAAAAAAAAAAAAAAAAAAAAAAAAAAAGAAAGAAAGAAAAAAAGTCATCTTAGTTAAAATACAACAGGATCATAGAAAATTGACATAAGATATCTGTTTCCATTGCAGCTTCGATTTCAGTGTTTCACTGCCTGAGGTACAAAGGAGAACACTGGACGTAGCAGTGAAGAACAGTGGTGGCTTCCTGTCCAAAGATAAAGGGCTTCTTGGCAAAGTAATTTCTTAGAAGTTCTTGTATCCTACACATTGTAAAATGAAACATTTCCCTATAGTGCAGTTTAGATTATAGCTTGCATAAGTGGGAAGGAGGGAAGCTCATCCTGTGATGAATGCTTGTTTCTCAAATTATGCTAAGACATTAGTACAAGCTGTTTTCATGCATTCATACTATTGGCTTATTACTGTTACTGATAGCAGGAACTTAGAGTTGAAAAAAAGTTGATGTTTTTTTTAAGCTTTAAAAACTACTCAATACTACATTGTTGCGGGGGTTTCTTTCCTGCCCAGTTCCCACAGTTGTTAAGTCCTAAAGAAATCACACAGAGGTCTACATTAGTTATAGACTGATTGGCCCATTAGCTCAGACTTCTTATTAACTCTTATAACTTATATTAACCCATTATTCTTATCTGTGTTAGCCACATGGCTCAGTACCTTTTTCAGCAGCATAGTCACATCTTGCTTCTTCTGTGTCTGGACAGGACTGCAGAGGGAGCTTCCCTTTTCCCAGAATTCTCCTGTTCTCATTGTCTCACCTCTACTTCCTGTCTGGTTATCTTGCCTTTACTTCCTGCCTGGCTATTGGCCAATCAGTGTTTATTTAAACATAACTGACAGAATATAGACAATTGTCCCGCACCACTACATTGGAAGAAAACATGAAGGAACATATTCTCAAAGGGCCTACCAAGCCGGGCGGTGGTGGCGCACACCTTTAATCCCAGCACTCGGGAGGCAGAGGCAGGCAGATCTCTGAGTTTGAGGCCAGCCTGGTCTACAAGAGCTAGTTCCAGGACAGAAACCAAAAGCTACGGAGAAACCCTGTCTCGGAAATTCAAAAAAAAAGGGGGGGGCCTATCAGTCCACCTCCTTAACTAATCACTGTTCTTCCTCTAGCATGTCATTGACTTTCTTCCTCCAAATCTTCTTTTTACATTATCCCAGAGGTTTAGATGGGAAAAGGGGCTTTGAGTTGGTAGAGGTGCCACATGGTCAGCAGCAGAAGTGACCAATCTATATTAGCTGGGCTATGATAGATGCCTAAGAGAGACAGTGTAAAAGAGGGAAAGTTGATTTTTGTCTCCTGATCTCAGAAGTTTCAGTGCATGGGCACTTGGCTCTATTGTTTCTGGGCCAGTTGTAAGGCAGAAAACATCATGGTGAGGAGCACGAGGCAAAAGCAAACTGCCCACCTCACAGCGGCCAGAAAGCAGAGAGAGATGTGAGGATATCAAAGAGACGGTATAGATTTCCAAAACACATCCCTGGTGACCCACTTCCTTCAACTGGACCCCCACACCTACCCACCATTTCCAATTGCCATCGTAGTATCAATCCTCCAGGGGATTAACCCATTGATTAGGTCAGAGACTTTCAGGTTCCAGTCACTTCCAGAAGCCAATCAGTTTGTTGGTAACCAAGCTTTTAAAACAGTGAACCTTTAGAGTCACTTCACATCCAAACTACACACTTCTGTTAACAACATACTTGACAGTATCTCCATAAATTGCCTCTGCCTGTGTTTCCTAATAATCCTAATACTATTAGATACAAGAAGAATCAATTATTAGACATACTCAACCATGGAAAGGTTGAAAAGATTTTTGAAAATGAGAAGCTGAGTTTTGAGTAATGGAAGAGTTCCATATTGTTAAATTCAGTAGCTAGAGAGGTCGGGAGGAGTGGTAGCTAGTCTCAACAATTTTCACCATACCTTCTTTTAACCCACAGGTGCTGGTTGCTATGGCATCTGAAGAACTCGCCAAGGGCTGGACCCAGTGGTGAGTGTGCCCCTATCCTAGGTAGCAGGTAGTTCTCAGAGAAACTTAGTCGTGTGTCCATCCAGCAGCACTCTGAAGCCTGACCCAAACCTATTGTACTTTTCTGTGTTTCTCAGGTATGACCTCACAGAAGATGGAACAAGGCCTCAGGTGATAACGTAGCCATGCTGGACATAAGGCCTATTTCTCAACGTGACGCACCACCTCAACATGGAACTCAACTTCTTGCAGATGTACCAATGCTATTTTTATAAGTATTGAGTTATACATACCTTAATAATTTTATAAAACTGTTGGCGTTGTAAGAAAAATTTGGCCAATATTATTGATAAATTTCCCATTGAGTTCCCTCCAGTATTTCACCAAGCACTGCAGAGTGCAGTGGTATACAGCAATGTGTTCCTGTGCTGTGTGGGGCTCTGTCGGCCACAGCTGCTGGAAAGCAGGCACCTGTATTCCTGAGTTCTGCCTTGTCTTGCATCCCAGAGGTGCACTACACCATGTAAATAGACTCTGTTTTTTTATACTATCTACATGCTGGTAAGAAGAAGAAGAAGAAAATGTATCTAGGAAATACATATTTTCTTCTAAAACTTATTAGATTCTGGGACAGATAATCATTTTCATCTTTACAGCAAAAAGTTCTCATAGCTCTGTTATATGATACAACTTTTTTAAGGGAAAAATGGAAAGATTATTAAATATTGGATATTTATGTCTAGTATTAATGATAAAAGAAAGTGTTCAAATTATTAACATTATTGTAAATAGGAAGGGAGATATAGTGAGAAGACAGTAAATGACTTATTTAAAAAGTTTTATAACTGAGTAATAGACAATACCAAGACTATTGTCAAAGCTCAGGAATCACAGTATATTCATCTGAAATTTATTACATAAGAAAGAAATGTGCACTGTTTATTTATAATTGTTTGTTATAACTGATTCATGAAATAGTGCAGAGATACACACATGCCAGGTGTAGTACCTCATACCTGTAATACCAGGATATGGGAGGCCAAGGCAGGAATACTAAGAGTTAGAAGACCAGCCTGGGCTACACAGCAAGACCCTATCTTGAAATAAGAAATTCATACTTTATATTTTGCCCAAAGCATAGGAACTAACCGCCAATATTAGGAGATAAGGTGTTGTCCAGATTGGATGCAAGCCTGGTTTGTTTATCCACGTCTCTAACCCTATAGAAACAGGCCCATTGTTAGTTTAAAGTGGTGAAACAGATTGGGTGAGTCCAAGGGATGTTGTGCTAAAGACTGGCACTGCACCTGCTCTTGCTGGGAGAACCTGGCTCTGTGTCCGTCATACAGGATGCACACCTCTGAATGGAGCTTTCTGTACTTCCTCTGATACAGTACATGACAAAGGGAGCGATCCTGCCCAGTGCCAGCAACAGAAGCTGTCAGTCTTGCCATTTTCTGGATGTCCTCGGTTTGTGCCACGTCAGATCATAATATAGAGATAGTATTATACAATTTTTAATTTAGAATCTTTTTTCCTTTTTAGATTATGAAAAGCATGTTTTACATATGTAAGAGTCCCCTAGCACCCCTTGTAAGGTGAGGCTATATCACAGTATTATAAGCTATGCATGTCTGTAAACAAAGTACACACAAATGTAGGAAGACTTTTCAGTATGCATTTTAAGCTGTGGGATGAACAGGGCTTCTCAGCTATGAGATCCTTTGAAACTATCTACACTTAGAGCAGGAAAATACAGCTTTGTAATCAAAATTCGAATAATTCCTTTCACATTCTTCCTGGAACTAAACAACTTATGGGAAGCTTATGTGACCAAACATACCAAAGTGCCTATGATGAATGCCGAGTGTTCTTTTACACTATCCTCCTGTCTAGCAGATGAAAGTGTGCCTCCGTTTGTAATGTACCATGGGTGCATTTGTAACAGAGTCTGTGGCTTTTCACAGCACATCCCAGGTAGTCACAGAACCAGAGTAACCTCACTCTCTTGTCTGTTGACACCTTCCTTTGAATCTTGTTAATAAATCTTTTTCTATTAGTGTGCAGGATTGGTTTTTGTGGGAGAAGGTTGATGTGTATGTCACATGAACATATGTGCACATAAAACATTAAGGGTGGCATTTAGTCACAGGAGAAAGACAGGTGGTAACTTATTAAACTTGTTGCTTGGCCATGCTATTAGATTTTTTAAAGACTCTTTTTAATTAAGTTCATTGAAGGGCTACTGTCATAATCTATAGAGATTTTCTTGATGAAATTTTACCATGTCAGTGGTTTTTCACCAACAACCTAAACATCTTGGTTTTGTGCCTATATGCTTAATCTGTTCAGTGTGATTTTATTTAATATAATACTTTTCTTAACAACTAGCCAAATTGAGTATTATTAAGGATACAATACTCTAATAAGTAAATGTAACACTTCAATATGATGCCCTCTGCTGCAGTCACAAAAGCTGGCACCAACGAGTTCAGGTACAGTCTCCCCACCTGCATCATCTGAATCCTCTAGTAGCTGTCTCCACACTCTTTGGGAAGGAGAGAGAGATTCTGGTAATACCAGCCCACTTCCTGACTGCCGTCCTGTGTCCTGCCTATGGGGAACTGAGTTCTCCTCAAGGCACGTTCCAGTGTCCTGAAGATGGAAGACACTTGGGGTTCTCAGAATATTAACTTTTAGTTTTTAATGACTTATCTAGGAAAAAAGAACTTTAAGTTTTCTACTCTGAGCCAAACCAATGAGAGGAAATTAGTGATTTGAAGCGCAGCTCCACTAACTTATTCACGTGGTGGCTTATCCTGTGCCTTAAGTACCAAGGGATTGTCAAGTTTAGATGAAAACAGAAGCAGCCCTGAAACTCTGTTTGCCACCATTTGTATCCCACGCTCTAGATTTTCTCCACAGATAGTCCCTATGCACAGGTCAGGCCTTAAGAGATTTTAGACTTATTTCAAAATCCTCAGGCAGATGCAGAGAGCATGGGTGCTGGCTATGTATTCTCTGGTTGCTGCAATGACTGGTCCCACCTGGATTACCCACTGTAGAGGAGAAACATAGAGGGTTGGTTTTTGATTTTGGTTTTTTAATCACAGAATGTGCTTTTGCTTAATTAATTTTACATAACAGCACAAGTATTTATTCAATAAAACTTTTGTTAGCTCACTTGTAATATGTTTTTTTGTTTGCTTCTTGAAATGAAAGTTTTAGTGTGGAAACAGGTAATTTGGGAAGTCCACATGCGATGTCATGTATATTTGCTGTTTTGCATTCTCTCGTTGTTCAAGAGGTTTGAGATTACTCATTCCTGTCTCTGTTTGACTCTTCTCTGTGTAGCTCCCAGACTCTGGGTTTTGCAAGCAGCTCTTTGAAGGGCAATGGTTGAATAGTAAAATCAGACTAAATAAGACAAACACTGGTAAGTCCTTAAACAACCTGCAGAGATAGGTGTTGTTTGAACAATGTGGAAATAGTTGTGTATCTAGTGTCTCAGTAGGCCTGAGGAAACACTTTGTAGTCTTTCTTAGGCATTTTCCCATCTAACACTATTAGTTTCTTTGCCCATATGCTGAAATGCCAGCTTTGCCTGGCCTTGTTTGTTTATTGACAGCGTAGCCAAAACTGGCTTTCAACGAACAGTCCTCTTGCTTTAGCCTCCTAAATGCTGAGATTATAATTGTATGCTCCAAATCTAGTTTCTTTGTCCTTCATAATGCCTTGCTTTACATCCCTCCATTAAAAAGAAATCAGAACACCATGCATGCTGGGCAAGCACTCTGTCACTGTGTCACACTTGACCCTTTGGGTCACTGCTAGTATTCATAGAAGACCTCTTTTTCTTATTTCTCTTACCTAGGATCTAAGTATTGAAGTACACATTTTTCCTGCTCTTTTTCATTTTTATTTGTATTCTTAATACCACTGACTATCTGTGTCACAAACAGACTTTCCTTCAGCACTGAAGGCCAGTGTGTCGTGTTCCCTCTAAAGCATCTGTCTTCTAGGAGGTCTAGCAGGGTTCCCTCTTGTTTTTGTCTCTGTCTAGTTACCTGAGCTAGGGATTTGAACAGCATCGTGCCCTGGCTGCCTCCCTTGCACACACATATACTGGTCTTCATTCAGTCCTGACTTGAGGACATACCTACTTTTGATACAGCCTTAAGCCGGTCTTGGTCAACTCCCAGGTTTCAGCTGCCCCCATCTTTGTTTTTTATTAACAACCAGAGGGATCTTTTAAAAACCATAGTGCTACACTGGTCAGCCATCCAGACCAGGCAGTGGTGGCACACACTTTAATCCCAGTAGCCACACTAGTTTACCATAGAAACCAGGCGTAGTGGTGCACACCTTTAATCCCAGCACTAGAAAGGACTATAAAACACGATGATACAGGAACTTGTGCTCTTTCAGTCTGAGGGTTTCTTAGAAGAGCTCTCCAGTGACTTGGCTGCTTTGCTTTTTTATTAATCACGCTACAAAAAACAAACCCTAACTACTGTTTTCCTTTGCCCTTGCACTTAACACTAAGAGCCTGTAGCTCCCATCCCCTGAGACTTCAACAGCCACAAATTTCCTCCAGGGTCTGCTTGTACTCGTTTAATTACCATGGTTCTTCCCACCTCCGCATACCATGACATTCTTCCCAGGACACTGACCTGAAGAGTGTCCACTTCCCTTCACATCCCTTTAAGGTTGTCTGTTACCAGCAGTCTAGCTATAAATAGCCTCCCCAGCACAGACCCTTGGCACTGTATTGCTCTTCTTCATCTTACTTACAAAGTTTTACTTGACCACAACTTAAAATTTTTCTCTCTGGACTATAAATCACCAAGAGCAGAGACTGTGTGAGTGTTAATTTTCGATAGCTGTCCTTAGCATGCAAATGATAATCCAAATCTGTTGAATAAATGATCTATAAACATTGACTGGCCGTATAAAACTCATGTTTTGATTAGTTTTCACTCAAAGAATTTTAGTTACCTCTGGATGGTTTTATTAAAGACTGAACATAAATTTATGTTCAGTTAAAAACAGATCACAAAAATGAGAAATTTAGGAAGTCTTAATTTATTTGATACTATTCTGAAACTCCTGGACATATCACTGTAAAAAGAAATTGTCTTTAATGTATATACTAAGAGGGAAAGGTATCTTCAGAAATGGTTGTCTACTTGGAAACTACAAAAGAATAGCCTTAATAAATAACTAAAAACCTTGGATTTAACAGAGGTTTAATGAGTTTAACCATGAGACTGTAAATCTCCATTTCTTACATTCAAATAGTAATAACAATTAGAAAATATGAATGCTTTAAAAAAATCATACAACAGACTTAGGACTATAATAGCAGTGAAAATCTACAATCCCCAAAGGGGAAAGAATGGATTTAGAAAATGTCTCATCCCAGAAAACTGCTGCTGTGTGGTGTGTCTGGATCCTAGGAAATCTGTGTCTGTTGTGTTTGTCAAACAGAATATTGTTGCTGCCTGAGCCTTTATTACCTCTAGAGACAGAAGTTGACAAAACAACACAAGAAAAGCCAGGAATAATAAAGGAGGGTTGTAGAATGTTTGGGGGATGTAGAAAAGTGTGTGTGAGGAGGGGGCACATGCGTTTCTGGAAATACACCTCAGTTTCTGGGTGCCATAAAGAGTGATCCAAAGTACTAAAAAAATCTTGATTCACTTACTAAGTAATCGCATACACTAGCCAGGCAAATACTTCAAAGAATATGCCTTTTAGGTAGTATAGTTAATCCAGGAAAGCAGCAACAAAGCCTGAAAAGAGGAAGAAGGAGCTTGTTCACATAATTGTCATACTATATTAAGTTTTTAACCCCAAAATCATGAGGTACACAAAGAAATGAAATGTAGTTCATATGCCAAAGGCAGGGACCAAACTAGTAGAAACTGTCTCTAAGCAAGTCCAGGTGAACTTAAGTTAGCTACTGTCATATGTTGAAACAAACAAGAGAAACTACATGTCTAAAGACTAGGGAGACAGGAGAACAAGTAGAAACTCTTGAATATAAGGAACTCAAGGTTCACTAGAGTTCAGCAGATTGAGCAGACGGAAGAAAATCAGCATATGAAGATGGATTAATAAGGACTATCCAAACCAAGGAACAAAGGTAATACAGAATAAAGAGAAATAAGTGGATACATAAAGACCCGTAAGGATGGATAGGAGCACCTAAAAAAAGTTTTAAGAACCACTGTAGGCTAATGAGATGACTCACCAGATAAAGGCCCCTCCCGCTAAGCCAAATAACCTATGTTCCATACCCAGAATCCATATTGTAGGAGAGAACTGACTCCTCCAAGTTGTCCTCTGAACTCCACATGTATGTTGGCAAGTACATGCACACACAATAAATAAGAGCAATATGAGGTTGGTATGATGGCATGCACCTGTAATTCTAGCACTTGCGGAATAGAGGCAGAAAGATGAGTTCAATGCTAAACTCGGGTATGTAATTCCAGAGCAACCTGGGCTACATAGAAACTTGTCTCAAAAGAAGGAAATTTGACAAAACGAAGTATAATGAAGAAAATATACATATTAAATGAACTGTAAGTGGGATAAACTTCAAGAGTGCCATGCCTAGATACATTTTAATCAAACAAATGCACAAGACACAACACATACTGTGCATGACGCATAGCTAGTACACACCAGAAACAATACAACACACAGCATATACATAGCACAGCATATATGAAACACTATAACTACAACTCAGCATATGCACAGCATACCATAAATATAATACATAGCATATAGACAACACTGGGCACACACAACATGAATATAAAAGTATAGTATTCATAGCATACAATACAAAACACTGTATGCCTCACATTAATGGGAATACAACACAATTCACAGCATATATAACAGTATATACAGTATACAACAGTACATCTATGTACCACAAATGTATAATATATGACAATTTAATTCACACGTGGACAACACAGCTTGAAGAACACATTATGCACATCACCTAACATGGATAACACAACACACTTCTTGATTTCTAAA